GCCTTGTAAAAACATTACTACCTGTGCGTCCTGGATGTATAGTGGTTACGCATTGGGCTGCAATCTGAATGTTCAAAAGCACCAGCACCGCTGCTGGAGAAAGACTGGATTTCCAGTCCCTGTAAACCAGAGCCCTGCAGATATAATGGTTATGGGTCGGGCTGCTAAGACAAGGCTTTCTACACCGTGAAGAATGACAGTCTCAGAAACCCACAGAGACAGTTCTCCCTGAATTACAGGACTGAGGACTCGCTGTGAGTTGGAATTGACTTGATGGCAGTGAGTTTTGGTTTGATTGTTTGGTGTGCATTCATGTACCAGCCCGGGACTTGGTTGCTTGGGTATTAGAAAGGTATTAGAACAACAGTGGGCGCCCTCCAAAAGGCAATGCCTACTACTGTATTACGAAGGCATGGGGTGGTAGGGCTTTTGTTCTGTTCTGTTGATGTGTTGGAAAATAGTTCTTACTGTTTCTAAAGGAGCACATATTTTTGTATTCTGATTTTTGTTTCAGACGGCAGCAAGGTTCCAGCTTCAACCTTAATGGGAGTTCTGCTAATGAATGATTTTCAACTTGCCATCAATAAAATAACGTACAACGTGCACTGCCCCAAGCAAGGTAAGAATTACAGGCGACTGAACACTTCTCACACTTGCATTTTGTAGGGAACATAGCTTACCATGAGGAGCTTCTGAATGAGCCACAAGATTTTGGCGAATCAATGATTAGGCTTTTCTAGCGGCGTTGTAAGTGATCAGAAGTTTTCTAGGTGAAACTTTAGATTCTTTTGTCCTTTTTTTAATTTGTAAAAGTTCACATTTGTATATTGAATTAATTACTATACAACACTATTTAAGAAAGGGATGAGCCAGGAAATCTATGTGCAAGTACATATTGTTTCAGAATTTGTGATAGAGCCTTTCTCTCATCTCAAACCATCCTTTTGACCATTAACATTACGCTTTTAGAAAGTTCTCTCTTAATCAGTACTTCACGTATTTCTTTTCCTTTCTCTCTCTCATCTCTGATAATTCCATAATGTGTTTTGTAACTGTCCCAAAGTTTTTATAGATATTTTCTTTTGTTTGTTTTTTTACCTTTTTCTCTTTACATTTCAGTCATGGGCATTTCTAGTGGCATGTCTTCAGGCTCACGAATTCTTTGCTCAACTGCATCCAGTCTACTGAGGCTCCCATCACAGCACCCTTCATTTCTGCCACAGCTGATGTTCTCCTACATTAACCACCTGCCCGTTCATGTCACTCACATTTTCTATGAAATCCAGCACCACATTAATCATAGTTTTTTAAAGTTTCTGATCTGATGATTCAACAATCTCTGCCGGGTCTGAGGCTGGTTCTAACACTCAGGTGGTCTCTTTAGACTATGGAGTTTGTAATTGTTTAGCAAGCTTTGTGATTGCCTGTTGAAAATGGACATGATGTATTGGGTAATAGCGGTTGAGGTCCGTAACCTGTATGGTGGGGTTTTTGTGTGGCTGGAAGTTGGGGCATGGTTAGTGTTTGCTACGTCAGAGCCTTCCGTTCTCTCTAGTCTCCCACCACCACCCCTTTTTTTTCCTGTCTCCCCTGTTGTCTTTGAGCTTCCCCGAGACTTTGAAACCAGAGCCAGGCTGTAGCTTGAGGTTTTCCTAGTTGTAACCCACTGCGCTCATGCTAGAGCCCTATTGAAGTCATAGTGAGGTGTTTGGGAGGAAACACATTCTTTGATCTTCTTAACTATTTTATAAGTTGAGCCAGAATCCCGAAACTGTAACCTTCAGAGGAGTTTCTTAGCCGCCCCTCCCTTTGTATGAGACAGGAAGAGTGAAAAGGCTTGGAGCTAGATCATTGCTCTTTACGATTCTGGTAAAGTTAATATTTTTTGAGGCCTTGGTTATGATTTAGAAAATGCTCTGGACATTTTTCAGCCAACTCCATGCTGTAAGCACAAGCTGGTTTTGCATTCCTCTTCACGGTTACAAGCTGGTAGGGCCCATGAGTGTGAGCCCGGAGTTGCTACTCTCAGGCTAGTTCACACCGAGCATTGGTTAGAGTTGCAGAGTTCCCACCACTCTGCCCTGCTACCTGCTACCTCACCTGCTTCTACTCCAGGCCCACCGTCAGTATAGAGTGGTGAGGGTGGGCAGAAGGAATCCATGCGCTCGGACCACACTAAATGGATAACTGTAAATAGAATAGGACATAAGAGCCCTTGTGTAGCATTGGACTGTCAAGGGCGGATGGTGAATGGGTGTGTGGGGAGTGGGGTAAGGTGGGAGGGTCAGGCTTACTGAATTTGGGAAATCCTCAGTTTGAGCTAGATGCATCACAGTCAAGAATCATCCATCGATGCTACCTACGCAGGGAGAGGGGGAGAAGCAGACTCAGAAAGGAAGGGCATCCTGAAGGGAAAAAAACCCTGAAAAACAAAATGGCACGCTATGTTAGGTTATAAGATGCCTTTCCTTGGTTCTAGCTTTTGATAGGGAAAGAATTAACACGGCAGAAACACAGAAGTGAGTGAAAGTAAGCTAGACTGGGCCAGCTCCAGAGAAGGGCGGTGGAAAAACAGGCCACGTGGTCCTGCTCTTTGATCTGATTTATGTAGCCTTCCTCCCTGCCTGGGCACCTCCCACATCCACCAGGAGGGCCTGCTTGTGTGCTAGTGGGCATGCTCCTGGGTGCATGAGCTTTGCGAAGCAACTGGTTCCCAGTGCACATGTTCTGCCCATAGCCTTCTAATGCCTGTCCCTCCCATCTCTTAGAACTTTCCCTTGACCTTATGGCCTGGGCTTGCTGGTCTTTGCTGATTGGTTGTCTTTGGAGGGCAAACCCTTTTTCCCCTAAGCTTCCTCCTGGTCAGAAAATTACCAGTTTGGGCCTGATTCTGCACCAATCAAGAATCCCCAATAGACACTTTAACTATTGGGGGAGAGGGGTGGACGTTAGATGGAAGAGTGTGCTAAACTAAAAGACGGGGCCAGCCACAAGGATGGAGGAGCCAGCTGGGAAAGGGCTCCCTGTAGACATATCCAGGACAATTTGAGCTCCACAAAGTAACGTGTAACCCCACAGAAAGGAGGGGGCAGAGGTTGAAAATGTGAAGATGAAGCCCCCGCTAAGGTAACAACGTCCATATCCACTGAACTCTTAATACTCGGCCGGGTCTTCGGCTTCCTGCTCTTTACTCACAATTAGTATTTACGTGAACATGTGGAACAAGCATGCTCAGAGCATCTCGTGAGTAGGTTGGTTTGCACGGCCTCCCTGTCCTCCCCAACCCCAACCTGGAACATGAGCTCAAAGTCCAGGTGGGTGTGCCCCGGACAGGGTGAGAACACCCAGGATGGTTTTATTCAGACAGGATTGCTGTAAAGGACCAAAGGAAGCCTGGGGAAGCACTGAAGTGGGGGGGTGGGGGT